ACTCTCCTTTGTAAAGTCAGATAGGCCCTGGCCTCCTGGTTCCTCTTTTCTTTTTTTTTGAGACAGAGCCTCGCTCTGTTACCCAGGCTGGAGTGCAGTGGTGCAATCTTGGCTCACTGCAAACTCTGCCTCCCAGATTGTCCTGCTTTACCTCCCAAATAGCTGGGATTATGGATGCCCACCACCACACCCAGCTAATGTTTGTATTTTTAGTAGAGATGGGGTTTCGCCATGTTGGCCAGGCTGTTCTCGAACTCCTGACCTTAAGTGAGCCGCCTGCCTTGGCCTCCCAAAGTGCTGGAATTACAGACTTGACCCACTGTGCCCGGCCCTGCTTCCTCCATTTAACGGAGCCCAGTAAAAAAAAAAAATGATGTTTGTTCAGACTCAGGAATCACAGAATACTGGAGCCGGAAGGCACTTTAGGGGTCAGGGAATTCAAGCCCCTCTGTACAGAGACCGCAGGGTTGAGACATGGGATAACCTTGCCCAGACCCTTACTCAGCCAGCGCTGGAGCCAGGGCCTGGGTTTCCAGATTTCCTGCTTCATTCTTGCTTTCTCAAGAGCCCTATTAAAACCCCATTCCCATTCCCAAATGTGACCCTGACAGCAGAGAAAATAGGAGCATGGCAGGGCTGACTGTGCACCGGCATGCCTAGCCAAACTGTGCATTATCTCACTGAATCCTCAGAGTCACCCGGTCACTTTCGACCGCATGTTTCACAACTGATAGAAGAGAGACCTGCTCGAAATCACACAGGCAGTAAAGGTGGAGTCTGGACTCCCTCCAGCTGTGTCTCACTCCCAGTCCCAGCAGCCTCTAATCTGGAAATGAGAAGCCTAGGCTTTTCAAACTGCTGTGGAGAGCTGGAAGAGCACCAGGGACGCTCCTGCTGGGCTGGCATCCCGGGAATTTGTGCCATTTGCTCTGTGGCCTGGTCAGGAGTCCCTCCTGCGCCACCCCACAGCCTTCTGGCTTCACCATTTCTCTGAGCTGGGCCAGCAGGAGAGGGTCTGGCTCTGCCAATGGCCCATTGGGTCTCTCCTGGCTGCTCTCACATGACATTCCTGCTGGGTGCCAGGGACCCGAGCAGACCTAGCAGAGGAGGGGACAGCTCCCGCCTTGGTGCCGTGGCTTTCTCTCGGCCTCTTGTTACTTAAGGCCGGGCCATTTCATTCCAGCCGTCCATTTCCAACACTGCTGTCTCTGCATCACGTTTTGTTCCTGGACCTACATGAGGGTGTCCTGTGAGCGTCCCCAGTGTGTGATGGCGGAGTGGAGAGGACAGATGCAGAGGTGGTCTCCCACACCCGCCAGCTTCCAGGACATCCACTTTTAGCTCCCGGGTCACTGTCCTCATCACCAATGCAGCCTCCTCAATCTCACTTTCCACAACCCTCCTGCTCCCCGCCTCCTGTCCTATCAGAAGACTCTAGCTCCTTCCCATGACAGGAACTGAATTGTGGGGCTTCCTGCATTCATTCATTTGTTCAACAAATATTTATTAAGTTCATGATGTGTGCCAGGCACTGTCCTGGACACTGGGAGTATAGCAGGAGATGGAAGAAACCAACCAAACCACACAGACAGAAACCCTTGCCCTCATGGAGCTGGCGTTCTAGCTGGGGAGATAGAAGGTGAAAGAGATAAGTAATTAAGCGTAAGTTAGGGGTCACTGCAGCGGGGGAAGAAAACAGAAGGGAGTTAGGAGGTGTCAGGGGTGGTTGAAATTTCCAATAAAGAGGCCAGGGAATGCCTTACTGAAGTTATTGTTTGCTTTTAAAATTTAAAGCCAGTCTAATTAGCAGTGGTGGTGGTGGTGGGGGAGGCTGTATACCAACTTTAGTGACAGTCATGTTAATAAGTTCTGATAACCCACTGCCATGGTCCAGCCTGTGCCTGACTGAAGACAAGAAGTGAGGGTATCTGGGGGGCAGCGTTGTGGGCAGAGAGATCAGCGAGTGCAAGGGCCCTGGGGCAAGAGCCGATGAAGCAGAGTCACGGAGTGGGGTCGGGCAGATGTGGGAGCAAGCAGGAGGCAGTCCACGCGGTGGGGTGGGGGACACCAAGCAGGAGGCAGTCCACGCAGTGGGGTGGGGAGACTCTTGGAGGTTTGGCAGGGGAATACAAAGGTCCAAAGGCCCAGAAGCAAGGTGGGCAAGGGTAGAAGTGGGCAGAGCCACCGGGAGACTGCGGTCACCCTGGGTAGGTTTGGTGGTCGCTGGCTACAGCCATGGAGGTGATAAAAGGTGGCTGAAGACATATCTCGGGGGTAGTGTCAACATCAACTGTTGACTGACAGGAAGAATGGAACTTGTTTGTTCCATTGCCAGCCTACCCCACCTCTCCCACTCACCAATAAACACACATCGGCCCCCAGCTGCCCACACTTCTCACCCTCCTGGCAGACCTTAATTACCCAAAAGTTTTCGACTCCTTCCCAATTCCCAAACCTTCCCTTCCTGTCCCAAGAAGTCAAATCTGACTCAGATGCTTAACAGCAGATGACCTTGGGGGAATTATTTTACCCCTTCTGACCCTCTTGGGGGCTTGGGTCTTGTCCTGCCTGCGTTCACGCTTCTCTGGCCTCACAGGGGGTTGCACAAAGAACTGCTGGGCTGCAGCTTAGAATCACCTGGTTCAAATCCCACGCTATCACTCATGAGCCTCAGCAGAGTTACTTAACCTCTCTGAGTCTCCAGTTCCTCTTCTGTGAACTGGAGTGATATTAATTCCCACGGCGTGGGGCTGCTGTGAGACAAAATAAAACCACACACACAATGCACTTAGCCTCCAGTCCACTCCCTGTTAATGCTCCGAAGCTGAATTATCAAATGCCGCTGTATTTTTAAAATGAGCAGAATGTTCATCTTGAATTGTAGCTATACAATTTTTAAAAGAAAAAAATTAAAAAATAAAATGAGCAGAATGCAGGTTAGCATGCCTTTCCACCCCTACGCTGTAAACAAAATCAGGATGAGAATGGAAAACATCCCATCCTCTTTTTTGCCAAAAAAAAAAAAAAAAAAAAAAAAGTGTGCATATTTGTGTCCTCTGCTCAGGGTTCTCAGCCTTCTTGCAGAGAGCACTGACTTTGTATGTAATTAATACGTTTTCATGAAAAGGAGGGTGTCCCAGGGACACCATTTTGTAAGCCCCCACGATTTGGCTTAAGGATTTGCCTCTGGAGGTGTGTAGCCTCTGAAGGGAGCAGAGTCTCTGGCCTGGGGGCATGCGGGGGCCTGGCTTTCCCTTCACCACAGGCAGCTCGCACCTTCTAGAAGCAGGTGAGGACGGGGACTCTCCCCCTTGGCCCGCCTGGGTATTCACAAGTCTGTGAGCCAAGAGGCTGTCTCAGGGCTGTCTGGGCGGGTGCCAGGGGATGAGAGAGACAATAAAACCCAAGTGCCGGGGCCATTTTCTTTTCTGAAAAGATCTTTATTTCCACGCTAATTGCAATTTCTGGTCGGCCCCAGTTCAGACTCTGCCTTGCACGCCTGGAAGTGATTCCTGGCGAGCTTCCTCCACCTTCTTTTTCTTGGCCAGACGCGGCCAGTCATAAATTGGCAGGGAAAAACACAGCTCTCCAAATGATTTTGGTATCTTGTCTAGGGTTATTATTGAGCTTGGGACAAATCCCAAACTGGCCTCCGCTGCTGCAAATGCAGACCTGAACTAGCTCCTCTCCACTTTAACTTCACCTTCATTCTAGTTTGCTGGTTACAGATGAATTCCTTTTTCCTGGACCCTCTAGGCTGCCCCACAAACCAGCACCCACATGAAGGCCAGAGCCAGGCTGGGTCTGCTGGGCAGTCAGGCCCTGTGGGAACTGGAGGCCTCTCCCCCAGGACTGGACTCACCCTCCCATCTGAAAGGCCCTTTATTCTAGGACTTAACGAGGCAAATGCAGTTAAGGGCAGGACTATGGAACTCACCAGATGTGAATGGAGAATGGGGAATTTGCAGGGTGGAGAAGCGTTCCAGGGATGAAAGAAAGGCGTTCTGGGCAGGCTAAGCATGGATGTGGGAACAACGCGACATGTCCCGTCTACAGACAGGTTTCCCTAGAGCTGCGCTCCATGCTTCCGACTGCAGGGCAGGGAGTTTGTGTTTTTAGGACTTCAGTGTGAAACTGAGAATCATCTTGTGTTTCAAGCATAGAGATAATGATGAAAGAACACAAAGAAATGATAAATGCTTGAGGTGATACCCTGTTTACCCTGATGTGATTATTACACATTGTGTCCCTGTGTCACACCTCATGTAGCCCATAAATAGATACACCTACTACCAACCCATAACATTTCAAATAAATTTTCAAAAAGAAATACTGATGAAAGTACATGATTTTTTAAGGATGGGAATGGGAAGAGTTTCAGCGTATGTCAAGGCTCACAAATCTCATCTGAAAGAGACCACTCAGGCGTGTACTCCGGTCCTTCCCTGCCCTTTCCTATCCCTGAGCCCCACCTCTGACCTTCCATGAAATTTAAGATTGTAAAATCAATGAATTCCAAACAGCTGTGTGACGACAGCTAAAGGAAAAATGCAATTATTTAAAATTATGAGGAAAGCCAGGTGCTGTGGCTTACACCTGTCATCCCAGCTACCCTGGAGGCTGCGGCAGGAGGATTGCTTGAGGCCAGGAGTTAGAGACCAGCCTGGCCAACACAGGACACCCTGTCTCTAAATAAAAATAGATTTAAAAATAAAAAATAAAATAATGAAGGAAAAAATGGTTGGAAAACAAAGAATGCAGACCAACTCACTTCATGCCATGCTCCTAAGATGAAGGTCCTAGGTGAGAATTTTATTCGCATAAGACTGACCACTACGCTATAATTAAAGGGTTGATTTTTATGTTTAGCTTTTTACTCTCTAAGTTGCCAGAGATGGGGGTAAATCATATCAAGTGCTGGCAGCCAGATTTTGTCATGAGAACAAGGCATCGAAGGGCGAAGTCCGTGAACGATCTTGGGAAATGTGCGTCACACTGACCTTTAGAGACGATTGGCTGCCTAAGCCGCCCGAGTCTCCGCGCGGGTCGGGAGGGTTGTAAATGCAGAGGAAATGGAAACGCAGGTGATCAGACAAGGCCGCTGCAGTACGCCGCGCTGGGAAGGGGATGAGGGCGCTTCGGGCTCGGATCCGGTCCTCTGGATGGGCTGGACCGTAATCTCCAGTGGAGTGCGCACAGGAGCACGGGAGGCCCACGTGAGTCCCGTGGGCGTCGCCCAAGTAACCCCCTCCCCTCGACAGGACAGGTGGAGGCGGGGGTGGGCGTGCTGGGGGGAAAGGGGTGTGCTTTGGGGGCTGGGGTGTGCTTGAGGGGGGTGTGTGCAGGGTGTGTGGGTGTGCAGGGGGTGTGGGCGTGCTGGGGGATGGGCGTGCTGCGGGAAAAGGGGTCTGGACATCCTGGGGCGGGAGCTCTAAGCGAGGCCCCCAAGGAAGGAAGCCCCTGCCCCGCACCCCTGCTGAACGCGCATCCGGTGGATTTAGGGAGCAGGTGGCGCGGGTGTCTCCGCCGCCGTCCAGGTGGGCGACGAAGAGTCCTCACCCAGGAAACAGCGTTTCTGCTCCACCGGGGACTATCCCGAGCGCTGCCCCGGGTCCGGACAGACCGCGCAAGGCTAGTCCCGCTAGGCCTCTGCCGTGTGACCCGGAGAGCCGCGTCTCCTCGGGTCATCTCGTTCCAGGACCTGGGCCCGCGGCCGGGGAACCTCCTGCGCCCGGGAGGAAGCACAGGTTCCAGAAGGGCAGTAAAATGGCAACTCCTGCCAAGCTGTGGGGCGGAGCTGGGAGGGTCCTGTCGCCGCCTCGCCGCCCGAGCTTCGGGGTGGGACGTCCGGTTAGTGTTTGCCGATTGGCGGCGGGCATGCTCAGTAACCACGGCGACCGCGCGGCCCCGCCCATCCCCACCCAGTATCCCCGCCCTCCGCGCTCCCCATTGGCCGCCGGCGCTTCCCGAGCCTACCAATCACCGGCCGAGTCTCCTTACAAAGGGTGGAGAGACGCCCCCACGCCTCACTCTGGGAAGCCCGGCTGACGGTTTAATTGAGATTAGCATAAACTCCAATCAGAAAGAAAACTCGGACAGGATTACCTAATCCTATATACTTAAGGGAGCACCACGAGAGCACGAGGAGCCTCTAATAACAGGCCCTCGGCGGGTTCTTCCTCCTGGATATCTATCTAGACTCTAATTCAGACTCCATCATTACCTGATTCTATGCCCCTTCCCATCTAGGGGTATCTATTTTCTCAATTTAAAGAGAGGGCTCCTTGTCAGGACCCTACCAACTCCAGATTTCTATGAACTACAGGGTCTGAGCGACGCCTGCAAGCCAACACTGTTCATTCAGGCCTGAACCGCTAAGCACTGAATGGGAGCTTGATTTGACTTTGCTTTTTTCTTTGCCTCTGTCTGCAGAGGGAGAAATAGCTGTCTCATTCCCTCTTGCTGGAGGAAAAAGAAAAAAGAAAAGAAAAAAATCAATAGGTGTTTAATCTACAAGGGAGATGAATTTCCCATCTAATCCAAGGAGATATGGGACGGCTCCCGGGTAAAGATTGATAGAACTGTCAGATATCAGAGCTGGCACAGGCCATAAATAATCCAGTCCAACCCCCTGGCTTTACAGATGAATCAGGCCCAGAGACGCTAGGGAACTTGAGCAAGGCCACTCAGCTGTCAAGAGCCCAGGTAGAAATCAGTGTGCTCTCTGCTACACCAGTGTGAATGGCTCCCGCCACCTGCTTGCCTCCAGGATCCCAGTTTGCTCTGTCTTCCTTTTCTCTTCTTCCTCCTCCTGTTACAATGTGGTCACAATCTAAAGTTCTGAAGGATTCCAGTGATTTTGCAACCTGTAGACTTTGGCTCTGAAGGACTTACAGCCAATTTCACAAACTTTCAAAGCCTTAAGGAGCAGAGTGATGAAACATTGGTCAACGGGTTCGTGACTGAGCCTACATTCTCTTACTTTCCAAATGACTTAACTCCACAGCACAGAATCTACTGGATTTGGTACCTGTAAAGACTTACCAGCCGGGCACAATGTCTCATGCCTGTAATCCCAGCACTTTGGGAGGCCAGGGAGGGAGAACCCCTGGAGGCCAGGAGTTCAAGAGCAGCCTGGGCAACATAGTGAGACCCTATCTCAACAAAAAAATTAAAAATTATCCAAGTTTACCAAAAATAGTCTACCTTGGAGATCTTCCAATGTGATGTTGGGGCAGTGCAACTGTATTTAAGTGCAACTCAAGACTAGCCCACCTGAAAGGTCCCCACACCCCACCTAATCTGCAAGTACAAATGAAGTCACGTCAGTATGAATACCCAGGTTTTGATGACTCAGAGCTCTCACCAAGAAAACTGCAGGACCTTGGGTGCCTCCCACCCTGCAGAAGAAGGAAAATGCAGATTCACCATGGAATACTATGCAGCCATGAAAAAGAACAGATCAGAAAACCAAACACTGCACTTCTCACTCATAAGTGGGAGTTGAACACATGGACCATCACACACAGTTGAACACATGTAACATCCAGAGAACATATGGAAACATCACACATGTGGCCTGTCGTGGGGGGTGGAGCAAGGGGAGGGAGAGCATTAAGACAAATACTTAATGCATGCAGGGCTTAAAACCTAGATGACGGGTTGGTAGGTGCAGCAAACCACCATGGCACATGTATATCTATGTAACAAACCTGCACGTTCTGCACATGTATCCCAGAATTTAAAGTTAAAAATATTTTTAAACATTCCTGGCGGTGTCTCTTGCTTCCTCTCACACCATGTGACACGCCTGCCCCCCTTCCGCTTCTACCATGAGTAAAAACTTCCTGAGGCCTCCCCAGAGGCGGAGCAGGTGCTGGAGCCATGCTTATACAGACTGCAGAACCATGAGACAAATAAATCACCCAGTCTCAGGTATTCCTTTACAGCAACACAAAACACACTAAAACAACATCATATATATATAGAGAGAGAGGAGACATATCCCAGGGGAGAGGGAGAGGGAGAAGGTGGTCAAGGACACCAGTAAAGAAGTTAATCTTTCTTCCTCATCTCCCCTACCTCTCCTAGGAGACTTTCTCCATCAGCCGTCCAGGCTCTTTTGCTGCCTGAACACCTACGTGAATGATCTGAGGCTAGGGGGTCACCGTCTTCCCAAGTCCTCCGTTCCTGCAGGGCAGATCCAATCACCCTGTCTTCAGACGCCACGGCACATTCATCCCTCTCTGTGCCTGCAGGCTTTATACACCCCCGAGGGCTCCTACAGCCTTGGGTAGGGTTAGGAGGACCCAGGCAGGAAGAAGCGGGTGTGGAGCTGCTGAGAGGCTCGGTGAAGGTTCCCTGGGGGCCAGAGACAAAGCTGGAAGCGAAATGCCTGCTGCTCTCACCTCTGGCTCCCCAGACCCCACACTGCACAAAGGTGGGGCTGCCGGGTGCCAGGGTGGTGGGGCGGCAGCCCCAGAAAGCCTGAGTGACCAAGTCATCGTCCCCGCCCATCTGCTCCTGGAGAGAGGACAGCCTGCAAATGCCATCTGCGAGGTTGGCCTCTTCAACCACGAGCCCCTCTCGGCGTCTCTGCCTGAACCCCTGGGTCAGATCAGCCGATGCCTGGCAGGGCTCTGAGGGGCTGGAGCTCCACACAGAGAAAAGGCCGGGGTAGGCGGCAACCTGCTGCTCACAGGGCTGAGAAGATGAGAACAAAGTGCCACCATGTTGCTGCGAGTGCCTGCTGCTCGGAAACTTTGGCTTTTCTGCTGATTCTGGTGGGAAGCCCCACTCTGCTATCTTAGCAGAAGGCGGGGAGAGCCAGGAGCAGAGCTGGCCGCAGGGCCTGCAAGCATTCCACCAGGGCTGGCTTTTGTTCTCACGCAAGATTTCCAGCCGGAGACAAATGCTTTCCACATGGGCTGAGAGAAGGAGGCCTCCTTCCACTCGCTTTGAATCCTCAGACACTGCCACGTGGCAACAGGCAGCGTCCCACAGCCAGCCTTCCCAAAACAGAGGCCCCTTGGGGACCTGCCCATCCCCACCTCAGAGCGCGATGACCACCTTTCCACACCGTGCTGCACCTGACCCCTCAACAACCCCAGGGTCTTGCCCTGAGTCCCCAGGGAGCTCATCCTTACCACCAGCAAGGACCTGACGCATAGACTGCCCTAATGCACGGACTGCCCTGATGCATGGACGGCCGTTGTGGACATCCATAGTCTGTGGTCATCCCAGATCCCTGCCCAAAACTACCTTCCCCAGAGCCCTGGGCTCCCAGATAGACCACACTCCTCCCCCTGTAACTAGCAGCTGAAATTAGATGAAAAGAAACCCAAGGGCTGGGGGAAAACACTGTCCTCGCTGCTGATGGGCATGTCCATTATTACAGTCCCTCTGTAGGAAATTTGTAAACTGACTAAACAATAATAAAATATTCCCTTACAATGAGCATACTCTTGGATTAAATATTCCCACTTCTAAAAAGCTATCCCAGGAAAATCAGCGGGAATGTAGCAAATGACTTCTACATAAGATGACTTCTGCATCATTTGAAAAAGTCAAAAAATTGGGCCAGGCCCAGTGGCTCACGCCTGTAATCCCAGCTCTTTGGGAGGCCAAGGCGGCTGGATCACGTGGTCAGGAGATCAAGACCATCCTGGCTAACACAGTGAAACCCCGTCTCTACTAAAAATACAAAAAGCCAGGCATAGTGGCGCATGCCTATACTCTCGGCTACTAGGAGGGTTGAGGCAGGAGAATCGCTTGAACGTGGGGGCAGAGGTTGCTGTGAGCCAAGGCTGCCCACTTCGCTCCAGCCTGGGCAATAGAGTGAGACTCTGTCTCAAGATGATAATAATAACGTTTGCATACACCCTAATGAATAAATATTTACTTTTAATAAATTATATATAGGTACTATCAAACTAAAAGTGTTATATGCATTACAAAACACATGATATGGAAATTTTAAGCAATATTTTAAATTTGTTCTATTTTATTCATTAACACTTCAGAAATATTTTGGTTTAAAAACAGCCGTTTGATTTTGGATTTGATCAATCATAAAAGTCTGAGTTTAACACTGATAGAACTGAAAGTTCAATATGTTTCTGTTCTTGGTTATAATAGTTATCATTCAAAACGATCTTTTATAAAGACAGATATAAATAGAGGAAAGACATAATTGGGCACACTTAATAAATCAAGAAATTAATTTTTCATTCTCATATACTAAGTATACACAGATTTGTACTGACATTAAGCTAAATAAATTTTCTGCTTCTAAGATGTCAACCGAGAGGTCTTACATTTTTTACATTTAATACATACAAAACACTAAAGTTTTCATTGGAAGATCTTTAGTCAGAAAATTCTGTTTCCATGTTTTTTTTCTTTTTTAAAATTTAACTTTGATTTTAAGTTCAGGGGCACAATGTGTAGGCTTGTTAGGTAAACTTGTGTCATGAGGGTTTGTTGTACAGATGATTTCATCACCCAGGTATTAAGCCTAGTCCCCATTAGTTATTTCTCCTGATCCTCTCCCTCCTCCCACCCTCTGATAGGCCCCAGTGTGTGTTGTTCCCTCTGTGTGTCATGTGGTCTCGTCATTTAGCTCCCACTTATAAGTGAGAACATGCGGTATTTGGTTTTCTGTTCCTGAGAGTTTGCTAAAGATAATA